AGATGTGAGATAAAACCACTAGCCGAAGCCTGACGTTCTGTGGAATCTAAAGAAGCTAATTCGTAGAAAAAATCGTACGTAGAAACCATTGCTGTTTTGGAAATTTTTTTCAAATTTTCCATTTATGTTCACAATGACATACTAAATAGGATGGTGTCACAAGATTATCGAAATTATTTTAATTAACGTTAGATGATTTGAATTTTCCTCGAAAAAAAAATGACTCGTGGTTCGAGTCTCGAAGACGACTTTCGAGCTATCATTGATGATCACACGCTTAGCGATCTTAGAATCAAATGTTCTGACAAAGTAATCATTCGTGGCTGCCGTATAATTCTTGCAGCTCGCTCCGATTACTTCAATTCTCTGTTATATGGTAAAATGCGCGAAGCTGGACAAGATGAAATCGAACTCCCAAAAATCGATTCCAAAACTATGAGAATAATCTTGGAGTATATATATACCGGTGGACTTGATAATCCAATAGAGTCGACATCGGCTTTAAATGATTTAATTGAAGCATACTCCGCTGCTGAATACTTACAATTGCAAGGACTAAAAAATGATATTTTGCTAGATTTTCAGGAAGCGACGAATAAAGCTCCTGAGGAGACTTTTTCTCCAGAATTGTTATCCAGTGCAATAGAAAAGCTATCACCAACCGCAGACCCGAACCCGCTTACAGATGTGCTGGCCGAGGGTGTCTCAAAGATGCGGTTGGAGGGTATTCCTTTTGAAAAATTCTCAACTTTAGCTCTTATGTACCTTGTTCGTTATTGTAAGGAGAGAGATAAGCCATTGGCGAAAAATCAATACAATTTGTTCAGATATATCACTTTGCACACAGCGAGCAAAGTTTCCCAAGAGGCATTAGAAAGATTTGAGTATTGTCTTCCACCACTGGAGAAGACCAATGTGTCCGTTTACCCCGAACGTCTAGAAGATTTGAAGTCAGTTCAACTAGAAAATACTGAATTGCATCGCATCTTGGAACACGTTGACTTTACATCAATTAATGGCAAGATATTGGTGGATATCATTGAACCATTGGAAGTGGTACCTTATAAAATTCTCCTTGGCGCCTATAGACACAAGGCAAAGAATGAGGTAGTTTTGGAGGAGAAAAAGGTTTTGATGGAATTCACATGGGACCGCAACTTCTGTGGACCAAATTTAGGTAAATTTTCAATTTGTCAATCTGAATTGAATTTCTTGTAATCCTAATAACAAAACCAACCCTGACTATTGTTTGAAAAATTACGATCGCAAGTAATTTCCAATGACGGATGCACAGTCTCCGCTTCTAGCGATATAAGATATAACGAACGCGTGCGTGCCATACAACCAATTGAATCCGGAATACACAATTGGGATGTCATCATCGAGGCACCTAGTACATCAGATTGGGTTGGCGTATGCGGCGAAGGTGACGTTATCAACTTTAGTTGCGATGATTATAATTCAAAAGTATGGATATTAGGATCTACCGGTCATGTGAGTAATAACGCTCAGCAAAGACCCTATGGAACCCCACCATTTGGAAGGAACACAAAAGTGACAGTGCATTTGAACATGTATGATAGATCATTGGCATTTTCAGTTAATGATGTAAGGTATCAATCGGTATTAGAATGGAAAAATTTGCCATCAAAAGTATACCCCCTGGTTTCGATGAGGCATAATGGAAGATTTAGGATTCATAGCAACAATTAAATCTAAAGAATTGGTGCTAGGGCCTGCGGACATAAAATATGAGTTTAAAGTGGTCGTTTTCGTGATCATGGTTAAGCATGTAGATTGCAAAGGCCGTATGCTCGGTGAAAAAATTTGTAGTCACGTTAGAAATTGCAAAGGATCTATTGATCTATCGTTACTAATGCTTTTACCTAAGGTGCATGGTAAGATAACTTTGACAATATCGAAAGTAACCCACTTGACTAGCCTGACGAAATAAATTTTGAAAAGGATTTTACAAATTGCCTTGGTTATAATCTCGAATAATTCCTTATAACAATCGACATCATATTATTTTCCGGAATCTTAAAGAAATAATGATACATACCTTTTTTTTTTAAAAAAAAAACCCCCATTTGACAATTAGGATAGCGGCAATAAAACAAATTTCTCTCAGTTTCTATCGCATAGGTCTGATATTTGGTTCATAATTCGCTCAAAAACGTATAGTTTAGTATTTAGATATTTCATTCTTATTTCTTATTGCTGCATGATTTACAATACAACTGCATATTGATCTTTTCTTTTTTTAAAAAATAAATAAAAATGGTTAGTCAAAACACGATAAGCATGAGCCTGGCACGTGTAGAAATATTTTCGAAAAAAAATACAAGAATCAATGACTTCTTTATCATGAATCCTTTCTTGATCTATAGAATTCGTATTTACTGTCAAACTTTAAGTGAATATTAAAAATGTTTTAAATATTCTTGTGTTTTGAATAAAATCAAATTAGTTATTTAAAAATATCTAATAATACTGTATATACAGTATATGCTATGGTTTTATTCTTTGTATAGTACAACCATTACTATAAATTTAGAGATTTCCAAACTGACATGTATACAGTATATGCTATATATATTGTATATACTGTATATATGATTATATATTATAAAAATAATATAAAAATAAATATGTGAAAATAATAATAATAGTTATTATTATTTGAGCAAATAAATATTGTTACTTTATTAATTGTAAAAATATATATGAAAAAAGTGACAATATCTCTTATATGACATAATACAATAAAAAAATATTAATACTGTATTAAAACTAATATACATTAAAGATAATACCAAGCAGTTATGAAAATCTACTTAAAATTATTGATAAAAAATTATTACATAAGATTTATTATTAAATTTTTAAAATATAATAAAGAATTAAAATTGTTATATATATATATATATAATATTTTTTTTAATAAGCAACATAAATGTATAGATTTTATTGAATATTTCATTATTATCAATACATTAATAATCATTTATACAATAAATAATCAATGCTTGCTAAAACTATCAAGTGTTATATATGTATTAACTCTAAAAAATCCTATAGGAAAAAAAAAATAAGCAGATAATAACTAACTATTAATTATATTATATATCATGCATATATACTCATTAGGTATATATTAGAAAAATATAATTTATATATTTAATGATATATAACTTATATGGCTTATTTAAATCAGGTTTTGTATTCACAACTGAATTTGAAAATCAATATTTAACAAGTTTTATAATTATAGATCTTGTTTATATTAAAGGCCCAAATTCCAATATGATATAATTATTTTGTACCAATTTTTAAAAAGATAAACTAATTATAGTTTTTTAAAAATACTAGAAAGTAATGAATACACAAAAGAATATTTCTATGAAACTTCTTTTAAAGTGATATCGATAGCAAAATAAGATATAAAGCAAAAATACTTCATTAGAAAAATATTTTTAATTAATTTGTAATAAGCAAATCATAAGATTCCAATTAAAGATAGGTTTCTAAACAAGTGATAACTATTTGTTATCTATTTTGATTATTAAATTTTATAACTTAAATTGATCTATATATAATATAAACCAGGTGGCATTTAGTATTACATGATTTAGAGACTTATCTTTAGTTTCAATTAATACCATTTGATATAGTATTTTATAAAATCAATACTAAAAATTTTTTTTTCAATATCAATATCAGTAATTACTAAAAATTTTTAGTATAAAACTTTACAATACTAATATTGAACTAAAAATACCAAAATTAAATAAGTTTATATTTTTATCATAATATATATTTATTATATATAAATAATATAACTCAAATATATATATAAAGTCTTCAGTTATACCTAAGAATTGACAAACTTGAACTTCTATTTTATTAAATAAATAAATTGATCTTTACAAAAACAAATTATATTATCTTTTTCATCTGGTCTTATATATTTCAAAATTGTATTAATTTGTATACCTCTAGTAACCTTAGTATATTACATTGATCCCTTTTATCTAAAGTATCTCTCTGTTACTAGTTTTCTATCTTTATTTTTCTTATAAATAGGAATTACAACAGTTCAAATTAGATCAAATTTTAGCTAAATTTAATTTATTTATTTTTAAATATATAATTCAAATCTGAATTGAATATAATATAGCTTGATTTGATTTGATTTAAATCTGATTCAAATCTAATTCTACTTGATTTGATTTAATTTGATTCAAATATTTTGTCAATATATATTTTTATTGAAGTATATTTACTTTAATTTAAAAGATTGTTAATTAAAATTTTTTTCTTTTTAAATATATATTATTAATATAAATAAAATTTATTAAAATTACTTCAGCAGAATGTTCATTTTATCTTGACAATACAGAAAACTCGATCAGACTTCTATTTATCAACATGTAGTCACAACTTAGAAAAACAGCAATTAGTACAACTAATGCCCTCAATATAAAGTTTATTAATCAACTGTTAAAGTACAATAACACCACCAAACTTTCTTGGTCACAGCTTGCTACACACATAGGAATAATTTGCTTGGGTTCAGAGCCCAATTGGTTCAAAACATTTGCAAACACCAAGAACTTATCTGGAATCCATGGTCCAATACCAAATTCTAAAACAATATTCTGGTTTCTACATAACATTAATGCAGTTATTAAGACTCGCAAAAGATATACCCTTATAGATGAAAGAACATCACTCAAAGAAAAGCATTTCACTATAAATCTTGACAATAATCTTACTAGATATTCAGGCTGCCCAATCGGTACACCCTCCTATAGTTTTTATTGAATACCATTTACGAGTATATCTACTTTCACACTATGGGTCTCTTTCAGTCCTCTCAATAGATTCAAATACCGTTTGCTTAACATAATAGATGAAATTGTCAACTCCTCACCAAATAATGAACACATTCTTCAAGAAGTTAATATCTCTACTAGTCATCCTCTTCAATCATTATTACAAGACCTCGGCCTGCAACAACATTACCATATTTAATTCCACAAGAACAGTCTATTTATAAATAAGACTGAAATAAAACCACTCAACTTCTGTCTATCACCAGGCAACATTTTATTGGCAATCTTTGACATCATACAGATAATCCCAGTTCACTTTACCATCGAAATTAGAAACAACAAAAAAATCCTTTAATCGGTACCTGAATACTCAAGAAGAATGGTTAAAATTAACTTCTCCTTACTGTCTCAGAGAATAAATCAGTACATACAACAAAAATCTATAGAGATTGTATATACCAAACCAAAATCCAGATCAAAATTAACCAGAACCATCCAATGGAACAACCCTTTGCTACACTTTCCAGAAAATCCCTTAATCAACAATACTTGTTTGGATAGCAGTATCAAATGGTGCAAGAAATTTTTTAGTATTACCAGAGACTATATGGTATGTGAAAGCTTCTCAGTTGTCTAAACTATACATGTGGCATAAATTATTTTGTTGTTGACTCAATTCCCAAAATCCTCAAAAATAATTACGTCATGACTTAATTATTTATATGTATTAATAGTGACTCAATTAATTGCGTCAAATAATTGCATCAATTGCATCAAGGATCTACAAATTTCAGTAACATGTATAGTCTAAACATTTGGACAAACACATACCCCACACAGTCTAAAAGTCATCAACTAGTCCAACAAAAATATTAGAAAACTCTATAATAACAAATACAGCATCTTAGTAGCCTTCAAAATCAAACTGCTCTCAGGAACTCTTCCAACCCGTCTTTCACTTCACCAGTTATATTCTAATCAATATCCAAATACTCTCTGTTCATGATGTAAACTTCGTACGGAAGATATTCAACATGTTTTCAAATGCGTGGAAACAGTACAAGCAGCTGAGCAAATTAGTAAAACTATCAATTAAACTCTCCATTCAGACAATAATCATAAACTGATCTCACATATATGACAAATCGTTGAGTCGTCATGTGGAGTTACAGACAAAATCTTTTTGACCACAGACTCTATGAACTGGATCAAGGTAGCAACAGAATCTTTGTCCTTATTGCATAATCTAATTTGGAAATCACGTTGCTCTACAGCTAATACTTCACCTCTCACTGGAATCAAGTGGGACCATACCAAGATACATAACTCAGCCAATTCCACTAATCCAAAAGCTAAAAACACCTCACAGGCCAAAGACATTTCCAATAATTCACAAGATAACATCATTATTGATCTATCTTCTATCATGGTTAACTCATTCATCCAATCTAAATATAACTATTCCAAATGTATTTATAGTCTAACAACTCTATCTACCAAT